GAAAGAAGTTTTTTAATCCACTCTTCTTCTGTGGGCTCTGTTCCCTGAGCGCCGAATTCAGCTTTAGGAATTTGTCTGATGGACGTGGCGCTTGGATTGTTAACAGACAGTACCTGTAAATGTTTGGGGTTTTTTTTAAATCTATATCTGTCTGCCACTTCTAGCTGCGTGGTGTTTGTCAGGTTTTATGTCTGGTGCATTGTGGTAGTGGGATCTTAACGTCTCTGATTTGGGAAGTTTGGGACGTTTGCATCTGTCAGCTGATGCAAAATGTGAAGCAAATGCTTATCTTCTCTGTTATCTCCCTAAATCTGTGTGAACTGAACTTCATAGGGAGGATGACCAATTTTCGCGGATGAGTTGGTGTTAGGGACAAATTGGGCCTCCCTGAGGACTTGTTCTTTTTGCTGTGGAGTACGAAATGTTTGAAGTCAACTGCACTCAATACATCGTAGTGTCTGTGCTCCTCATTGTACTCTAAAATCAGATGTGGACCAATATCCGCCAACTTGAGCTTCCCAAGATGATTCAGAGAATGAAGTCCTGCAGGGGTCGTGTTTATTCCCACTGAGGATGCCAGTGCAGGAAATAGGATTTTCTTAATCCTTGTGCTTTTGAGTCCTTTGGGGTTTTTGAGGTTTTTGGTTTTGTTTGTTGGGGTTTTATTTGCAATGACTGAATGCTTCTTTGAAAACTGATTCCTGAGATTCCGGATTTGAGCCTAGAGCAAATTTTTACAGCACAGTGTGAGCTCCCAGAAACAGTTTAACATTGACGTAGTTATAATTAACTTAAAGGAGTTAATAAAACAGAACTCGCTGTGGAAGTTGGCAGGAAAGCCACATTTTCGTCAAGCTCCCTTGCGATTATAGCTTCGGAGCTGAACAGCGTGGTGGGTTGTGTTGGGTCCTCCAGCGCCTGGACGGAATGACTGAAACCGGCTGAAGTCCTTTGAGCTTGCCATGACTCCTGCAGTCCACTGAGCACCTCCCAGGCACTCACGAGTGGGATGTTTCAGAATTTGGTAAGCTTTGGGGTCAGGTGGAGGATTTTTGTGTTTCAGGGCTCCGGCTGGGTGAGGAGGTTGATGCTCGAGGAGTGAGTTGGCCAGGAGGGACACTTCCACTGTCACAGCTCAAGTCTCCTGTCTGTTTGTCTGTCTGTCTTTTAAGTTGGGGTTTATCCATGTATTCTCAGTAGCTATTTAATTCACTGCTTTGCTTGTCTTTTCAAAGAAATGCTGAATCCTGAATCATCTGTAACTCTTCCTCGTGTGTTTTCTTTTTTTTCTGTCAGCTGTGTTAATTTGCCTGTAACTAACTTGATAGTATGTCATCCTGGATAGAGAGAATCCAGCAATTGTAGGCTATAAAGCTGACAGTTTTCCGGAAAATATGCTTTCAGAATAATTGAAAAAATCTCTAGGGCTATTGTCACTCTTTGGAGATGCAATTTGAAAGTCTAAAACCAGCAGGGTTCAAACTAGAGGAATGAAGGGGGAAACTCATTCCTGCAAACCAGTGGGTTTTTGGAGAAGGAGAATTAAAAAGAGCCTCTTGCACGTTTTCCTGGGTGTTTTCCTTGCTCTGGTTCCTGAGTGAGTAGTTCTGGACCGTGCAGTGGCTTTGTAAGGACAGAGCATAGTTACCTGCTCAGGTGATGTGGTGGTGACGTTCATTCATTCCTGCAGCAATTCCTTTTCTCTGATGGAATATCAATCACATGAGTTTTTCTGTTTGAAAAAGTGTTGTTGCTAGTGGGTTTGAGGAGCAAACACCGGATTTTGCTGGGAGTACGTCCACGGGAGGCTCTTGCTAGCAGAGGAACGTGAAAATTTTTTTCACCATCTTCTGCGCAGCTCGGATTACATGTTTTCATTAGACATCTGGTTGAATAATTGGTTCCTCACAAATGAGTAGGTTAAAATAATCGGAAGAATAAAGTTTTTGAGTAGCTATATGCAATTTTTAGATATATGTTCGCTCGGATATCTCCTTATTTGCATTTTTGAGTATTGCAGCAGGCTAGAAATTCTACTCTAGAGTTGCAAGTAAAAAATCATTTATTGGGAGGGAGGCTGGAAGATGCTTGGTTTTGAGTCCCAGATTTTTAAACCTATTTGATCAAATGCAGTGTATTTGTGTAGGATGTGTAGTTTTGATGGAAATCAAGAATAAGGATATTTTTTTCCTACAGTGTTTTAAAATAAAATGAGAAGGGAAAAAAAAAAAAAAGGCAAACGCGCTTTATTTAATGCGGTACCAATTCCCGGTGGACTGGTGAAATGTTGCTGTGTTTCGCTTTTGCCACTCCCAGGAGAGGGATGAAGGAAGGAAAGAATCGTTCCGTCTGAGCTTCCCACCTGTCCTTAAAGATGATTTCCAGACTGCAGCTAAAGGAGTTTGTGTCAGTACTGAAGACTCTTATTTGTTCTGGAATCAACTCCTGGACAAATAAAGGATGCATCTAGTTTCCGAGGCTAAACATCTAGCACCTTTCCTGATCCCTAAACTTTTCCTTTTGCTTCGTGCACATTTATCTAGAAAAAGAAAGTAGCTAGTGTCAACAGATGCGTACAGATGTCTTTAATCAGTTTCCAAATGTGTAACAATGGTGCTGAGAAACATAATAAACTCATGTGTTTTATTTTAACACTCTTTCGGGTCAAGAGCCGAATTGTTTCTGCTGCGTTTGGTTCTTGAAGCTGTTACAGGATCTTGCCGTAAGTTTTTTCCAGGATTATGAGCCGTGCAGGGAAAGAAAGTAGGGTTTGACCCAATATTTAAATACTATAAGTGATTTGCAAGGTGAGACTTTTTCAGATCATCTGTAGAACATCACTGGTAGTCCAAGAAGAACTGGCTAAACTAGTGTCCCTATTTTCCTTTTATTTCATATGATTTTATTTCAGTTTTAACTCATCTTTAGTTGTATTTCAGGGCAGCTCCACACTTCTGGTACCTCTTCTCCACACAGAGCAATTAAGTTGTTCCTCCTCCCCTCTTTTCCTCCTTCTACCCCTTATCTGGAAAAGAAAGGATCTAACTAGGTGGGAAAATACAACTATATAGATATTTCTTAAGGTGAGATCTACCTTGGTGGTAAAAGTTTGTAAACCTAAGAAATAGACCTGATATACTGTAATTGCAGAGAGAAGCGTTCTGTTTGTTCGTTTCCAAGACTTCAGAATTCTCTGTCATTAGACTGTCTTGTTACTCATGGCTTGCTCTAGGCTGTCACATCAACTACATAAATTTGTGTTCAGTTGTTGCAATATCTTAAATAGCTCCGGCTCCGTAATCTCTGCAAGGTTTGTTTTTCCATTGTGCAACTGTTTACAGGTTCTGACTCATCTTTCTGTTTTCCTTTAATCGCAGCTTTGTAATTTCTCCTGTTAGCGTGTTCTTTTTGTTCTTGGTGGTATGTCGTGGCAAGCTATTTGTTTACCTATGTGAAAGAGAGGAACAAGTTTTGTTCTCAGTCGTGTGCACGTCTTCCAACGACTCATTTAGTAGTCTGCGCGTGGGATGGCAAGGCTGAACCTGCAGACACCCCAGCTGCCTTCAGAACGTGTTCCGCACAACGCGAGAGAGTCAATTTTTAATTTTTTTTTTCGTGGAAAGGGTCGAAAATGTGAGTCAGGAAGAGGCTTCTTTCATGTCAAGAAGAAATCCTGCAGTTGGTGCAGGGCAGGGGCTCCGCGCGCAGCAGCCGGGTGCACGGCACGCGAGCCCGCTGCGGTGAGCGGTGCGGATGCTCCGGCAGCCCGGGCAGCCTGCTCTGCCTTCTCGGCTCCGACACGACAACCACACCAAGGAAAAGCAGATTTCGTGAGAGGAAGTTGAAAAGACGTATCGTTTGAGTGGTTTGGGTTAAATAAACACCCTTTATTTCTAACTTGCAGAGCAGCTGAATGCGTACGGGATTAGGGCTTGGATTTGCAAGGGAAGTATCCATAGATACCTAAAGAGAAACAGGTGGGGAATGTCACATGCAGTCTCAAAGATGCTTTTGTGCCGAGAATTACTGAGTTAAGGTGTAACAAAGCTGCTTTGTTAACTGACCAACGTTGTTAAAATCTCTTTCCTTTTTCAAACAGGAAACCTTGCTGGCCCACACAGGAAAAGCAAAAGCAGTTGACAAAAGGCTTGTAATTTATATACTGACAGCCTACTTCATTGTTAAACATGATTCTTTAATGCACAGTATCTGGTGTGTGATTGATTTCCTCGTAGCCTGCTACCCAGCTGAAACTAGCAATATATCCGCATTGTTTCTTTTTCCTTGGAATCTGTGGATAAATGCGGTGCTCTTTGACAAATACTGTGTCCTGAGACCTTGCAGAGCGGGTGAGCGACTGCGCTTGGCGGCTGTTTGATCAGCCTCTAGGAAATTGTCTTGATAAGGCCCTTTTTTTGTCACACGGTGCAAATCTCGGATACGCCGGTGAGACTCAAGGGTTAAATTCCCAACACTGTCGCATATGGCAGTGAGCGGAATCACAGATGTTGATGATACAACATAATTAGTATTCTTTTATGTAAATGAAGGCTGTCAATGTTACCATAGTGTCTATACTCTTTCAAGCTGGAATCTATGCCACTTGGTCTCACCAAGACTAGACGGGATTATTCCACAATTTTCTCTCAAGACCTGAACAGAAAAATAAAGAAGAAAGAGGGAAAAAAAGGTCAGGGAGGAAGGTGAGAGGAAGGTGGGAAGGGATGTTTCCAACTTGGAAGGAAGAGACCAAATCAGTCCTTTGTTTAGTGTAGGATTTCCGAAAGTGTCCTTCCAGATCCTAGGATTTGTGAGTGAATGAGCACGGCCCAAAGGAGAGATGGAGCAGATTTTTAAACTATTTTAAATAAACAACTAAAATGGTTATTTAGACACCACAGAATCAGTCTGTGGAGAGCAACTCTGAAGGGACCCCTTGTGCTTTAATCTGAAGTCGAGAAGAGTTAAAGAATAGAAAAGCTTTGATTTTTCTTTAACAGATTCCATCTTTAGCAGCAGTGTCACTGGAAAAGGATGGTAATTGAAGTGAATTTGCATAATTTGGGAACCACTAAAAATGTGTGTATTTAGCCTGGTCAGATAGGTTTTCTGCATACCAGTTGAGGCAGCTGTTCAATACCTGTGCTAAAGCTTGGGGAGAGCATGCCAGGGCCTCCGTTATGTTCAACTTTGCCGCTCGTAAAAATGTTTTTTTAATTGAATATTCTGTGTTCCAGACCTGACACTCTCTGTGACATCTGTAACCACTTTGTGCATGTTACTGCTGTCCCTCCTATCACTACTTTGTGTTGTGTTCAAGTACTGCAGTCGTAGATGCGTAAGCAAGTGATTTAGTCTTGGATTATTACAACAGAAACATCTTTACAATCTTTTCTGCCTCTGGCAAAATGCAGGTTTTTCCTATTTTTCTTTCCTCTGTAGTTCTTATATTGTCACAGTTCACACTTGACAACTATTCATTACTTCATTTTTATTGTTTGAAAAATGACTAGAACTGAAATCTAATTCAGGACAGATTCTTTTTTTTCTTTTTCCCCATCTCCTCCCCTCATCTTTCACCAAGTTATCGAAGCAGCCAAAATTGAAGTGATCACAGGAGGTGCACGTTTTTGCTCAGTTATTTTTTTACTCAGGTTTTTTTCTCTGCCATATGTTGGGTCACCCACTACAAAAGACTTATGATGAAGAGGATATATGTGATCAGCAGATTTATAGATTATCAGAAAATGAAAGCAGAAAAATGAAATTCCAGAGTGCCTCTTCCACGTGACGTTTCTTAACATCTGAGTATTTGGGTTCCTAGGTGTGTTCATGCTTTGACTTCCAGATATTTCTGTCCTCTGTAATAAATGTGTTCTCCGCAGTAGCTCTTGCACTGAGAGGATTAATCGTGTTCAAAAGCAACCCTGCCAGCATTCTTACTTTGTTTATGTGCATCACAAGAATATTCTCTCTCTAGGGCTTTGAAGCTGTGCTGCCTTACAGTGAAGACTTAAGCAGTAATTAAATCCTTCAAGACCCGCCAAGACTCCTTTGGCTGAAATGGGGATGTTCCGCGCCCTGGATGCTGCGTCGCGGAGAAAAGGATGTTTGAACATGACCCCGTGAGTAGCACGAGCGAGTCCGGTGCCGTTTCTGTGCCCCGAACTCTTTCGTTTGAATCAGAGCGTTGCAGGGACTGTAGAAAAGAAACCACAGCGCTGGCACGCGGCGCGGTGTTTCAGTTGTGCTTCTCGTACAGCTGAGTATCTTCTATAAAACATATGGACGCAGGACACGGAGTGAAATCTTTCCACGCCTTCCAGTATCCCTGTTTTGATTTCTCTTTGCTTACAGTACAGTAATTTAGTAAATCAGTTGCTTTTTCTGTTTATGTGTGCTCACGCAAACACGTACACATGCAGATGTTCCTTTAGGTTTACTATAACGTGGTGTTACACGTCAGTTTTTTTCCCTGCTAATTTTTTTTAAACATTGAAACATTTGGGAGGCTGTGGGAAATCAGAGAATTCGAGAGTAGAATGTAAAGACCGCAGACTTGCAAATGCTTTGGTTATGACAATTATCTGTATTTTTGTGGCTTCTGTGAGAAGTTGGTAACCTCAGCCTAGTTCCTGATGACATGCATTCCAATTCCAAATTCATTTTGTATGTATCAATTTCAAGAGGGCAGCTAAAGATCAAACGTGTGTGTGGACTGAATTAATCTTTTTCTCCTTGGAAGTGAGCCATTCAGGTTGGGTAAGGCATGCTGGCAGCTGTCTGGGCCGTCCTTAGTAGACAGATAGACAGTTTTATTCTGCAGACCTTGTCAATCCAATATCTTTTGCTGGTACTAAAACCTGCTTTTAAAAAAACTGCGTGCAGAAGTAATGTAGTCGGTTGAAGGAGAACCGCAGTTGGGATTGACAGGACGCGACATCTGTATTTTTATAGGTCTTCACAGCTGGTACAAAAGAGATCATTTTAAATATGTCTAGCGACTCTAAGATCCTTTCCTTTCTCTTTTTGCCTTCCAAGGTCAAAGCAGCGAAGACTTCTGTAAGACATGGATAGATGCAAACATGTTGGGCGGCTACGACTCGCCCAGGACCACTCTATCCTGAACCCCCAGAAGTGGCACTGCGTGGACTGCCAGACAACTGAATCCATCTGGGCTTGTCTGAAGTGCTCCCACGTAGCCTGTGGGAGGTACATCGAGGAGCATGCACTTAAACACTTTGAAGAAACCAGGCATCCATTGGCGATGGAAGTGAATGACCTGTACGTCTTTTGTTACCTTTGTGAAGATTATGTCTTGAACGATAACCCGGAGGGTGACTTAAAATTGCTGAGAAGTTCTCTGTCAGCAATTAAAAGTCAAAAGCATGATCCGTCAACAAGAAGTGGCAGGACATTGCGATCGATGGCTTTGGGAGAGGACACGTGCAGCCATCAAAGGAGCCCTCAGGGACAGTCTCAGATGCTTACAGCTCTCTGGCACAGGCGCCAGTCCTTGCTCGCCAAGGCGCTGCGGACCTGGTTTGGTAAGAGCTCTAGAGGCCAGCTAAAATTAAAACAAAAGAAACAAATGGAGGAGTTGGAGAAAAAGAAGGAGGCAGCTAGGCAGCGGCGGCAGGAGATGAAGAGACAACTCCTGGAGGAGCTGGCAAACACTAAAGCGCAAGGCTGTTGTCTCATGTGCACAGAGAGAACTTGATTCCAAGGAAATTCAGGGAAGTGGCGACCGCTTCCCCTACCTCAAGGCAGATGCAGAGCAGCAGATTCAAACAGTTTTATTCCATCCGGCGTAAGCCTCTGATGACTCCCGGGGTAACGGGTCTAAGGAACCTGGGAAACACGTGTTATATGAATTCTATTCTGCAAGTGCTAAGTCACCTCCAGAAATTTAGAGAATGTTTTTTGACACTTGATCTCTGTGAAACAGAAGAACTCTTAGCCAAAACTGTGAATGGGAAGTCTAGGATGCCTGGTAAATTGGCAAATGGGTCTGCTGCTAATGAGTCAGGGAAGACTGACAAAGTGGGATCATATGGCACGCAGAGCTTGCCAGCTGGCTTAAATGGTGGCTCCTCGATAAGCAGGAGTTTAGAACTGATCCAGCCCAAGGAACCGAGTTCAAAGCACATCTCCCTCTGTCACGAATTGCACACCCTCTTCAGAGTGATGTGGTCTGGCAGGTGGGCGCTGGTGTCCCCCTTTGCCATGCTGCACTCTGTGTGGAGCCTGATCCCGGCGTTTCGAGGTTACGATCAGCAGGACGCTCAGGAATTTCTCTGCGAGTTGTTGGATAAAGTACAGCAGGAGCTGGAGTCGGAAGGAACGAAGCGCAGGATCCTCATCCCTTTCTCACAGAGGAAGCTCACCAAGCAGGTCCTGAAGGTGGTGAACACCATTTTTCATGGGCAGTTGCTTAGTCAGGTATGCACCTGCTTTTGCACGGGAATCAATCAAAGCTGTTCACACCAAGGAGCAAAGGCTCTGTTTCTTGAGGAACTCCAAGATAAGTAAGAGAAGATGATTAGGAGTGCCTCGCGAGAAAGAAATCCGTTGGGTTGCTGTGCAGGTTGTCAGCGTTTTCAATACGTGTCACGTGTATTGTAAATTCAGTTGACTTTTTGCGAATTCAGAATGAAATCTGCACAAGTACAGAAGTTCTGAGCCCTTAGTTTTAAGTTTTTACTGTGTTTTTAAAGTGTCTTTGTAATTTGTTCTGTCTCTTCCTGGTTTTGTTTCCGTGGCTAGAAAGAATATGATGAAGGACAGAGAGAGCAGTCATCGCGTGCTATAAAGAATAAGTTGTCTGTGATAATTATTTTTTTTGCAGGCATTTGAAAGTCATCTTCAGATACTGAGCATGCTTAACATACGTTTCCATAGGAGCTGGAAGTGCCTGTCGTGCTGCTTGATCTCTTATTCCTGCGCCGTTCCCTCGCCTGAAACGTTATTCCCCACCAGGCAGACCCTGAGACCCCAGTGCATTTTGAAACTTTTGCTTTCCAGGAGAAATGAAATGCGTGCAGAACTTGACACTCAAGGGTTTGCAAGATCAGCCACGAGGTCTATTATATGTGTGCCTTCTCATTACTATTTATATCGCCCTGCTCAGTGCCAGTCTTACCAAGCCCACCACTCAGAAGAAGTTACGTGCACGTTAAAGATTAAAAGGTGTATTTTTCAAGTTAAAGCTTTTGGCTTTTCAGGGAAAAGATGCTTGAAGTCTTGGTTCGTTTGCATTAACTTCTTGTGGACTTCTTCTTCTTCAAAGAACTAAATGTTCTTTGTTCTGCTGTGTCTCCTGGCTCTGGATGATGGTGTGTTGTGGCTCCGGTCAGTGTTCCAGACTCCAGTGGTAGGGCTCTGCTAACAGCGTGAAGATGTTCCCAGATGAGTGTAATTTGCCTGCTGCTATGATTCACTATAAATAACTCACCGAGCTATTTATTCTGCTTATGTATCTCTTGTGTCCACGTACTGTATTTCATTTCAAACCCCTCTATGCACAGACTTCCTTCCCTATCTGCTAGCTACAAATCCATCTTCAAGTTACTGGTGCCTTCAGTGGATGCAGCTGCCAGGCCGCCAGGTTGGAAGTTGGTTTCTGATGGATGGTTCTCACAATGACTAAGTCTGACCAGATCTGCTTTCTGGTTCTGCTACCTCCTCGTTTTCTCACTTTCTGCCTCAGAGTTTCATTGAAAACTTTCTGCTGTTCTTATTTATAATACTCTGGGATGACATAAGAAAACAACTGCATCTGAAATTTGTCCTTTCATGCTCCGTTCATGAATAATTTTTATGCAGTCAGCAGATGAAACATTAAAGGAATGATACACTTTGAAATAAGCAAGGAAAGTAGAGAAACTGTGGAAGGAAGATAGCGTGATAAATGCTAACGTGTACTTTTTGTAGCAGAAAAGAGATCCCAGGTGCTTGTTACCCAAGTGTGAATTGGTATTATATCTGTAATGGTGTTTATCTGAGGAAGCAAATCCCATAAAGGTGAATATTGTCTCTGTTTTTTTAAGAATTGAGAAAGTAGTTTACATTATTCGCTCAAGACAGACTTAGCTTTCAGACTGGAAATAAACAGTGTTTCTCCTCACTCACAGATCATCTCTGTCAGTGAAACTGGACTGGCATTTGGGCCTAAACTTGCTCTTTAGATGTGAAGTAAATGCCTGTCTGCAGCTGTACGTGTTCATAACTTCATTTATGTATATGCATTTCATTCCCAGGTCACCTGCATAACATGCAACTACAAATCCAACACTGTTGAGCCCTTCTGGGATCTTTCCCTGGAATTCCCCGAGCGCTATCACTCTATCGAGAAAGGGATCGTCCCTGTTAACCAGACAGAGTGCATGCTGACAGAGATGTTGGCCAAGTTCACCGAGACCGAAGCTCTGGAAGGGAGGATATATGCCTGTGACCAGTGCAACAGTAAGTCAGACGCTGCTGCTTTCATTTGCCACTAGAAATACTGTCTGTTTTAATGAGAGAGACGTTTCTGATGCATGTTTTGTGTGTCTGAAAACATGTATTGTAGCCTGTATGTGTAGGAAAATTGTATTCTTCCTCGCTGCTTGTGCTGTTTTGTTTCCTCCTGCTGGTACCTTCTGCTCCTTTGGGCACCAGTTTGGATCTGATATGGTTCTTCTCTTGTCTCTGCCATTCAGCAGCACACTTTACTAAGAGTTTAATATGACCCTGTTCAGAACTGCTCTTGCTGCTTGTGTTGGAGGGGAAGGGAAAGGCAAATTCAAGAATTCTGTTTGGAGGAAAGGAGATGGATTTAGAGACAAAAAAAGGAACCTTATCCCCTATAGTTTGCTCATCTCTGTGTGGCAGGAAAGCTTTTATAACAAGTCATCTATATGCTGTTTGTTCTTGATTGAATCCTTTAACCAGAAGTCGCAAAGGCGGAGTTCTCAAGGTCTGCTGCCAGGTTAGAGTTTCCATCTCTCCGTAGGCATTTTGTCAAGAAGCAACGAACTGACATTATTCCGGGAGTCTCAGGTTAATGTATTGCCTGTTAGATGAATGCTCGTGTTTTGCTGCACTCAGCCAGAAGATGACTTCTCCTTTCCTGTAGTAGGTCTGAGTGTAAGGTCATTATCTTCCTGAAAATGATTTTAGCCTTGTGTATAATCATGCAGCTCAGCTACTCTGATAAGCTGGATTTGAAGTTTTTCTCGCGCAGGTATTTATGGCAAATGTATCACCTTGGGAGGAAAATGCCAATAATTTGACTTAGGTTGCAACTAAGCAGCTGACGTAGCAAATACTTGTAGAGATCTGTTCTCTATCGACTTGCAAATCTGTTGCCAAACATCTTCACAAAGTGTTAGGAAATAACCATTGACTAGATGTTCTTGAAACAAAGCCAGTATAACTTGGACAGATTCTGATTCACAAATAACGTTCACAGAGTGTTGACATGGATGAATACAGGTTTGTCTTCACTGTTTTCTTTGATTCTTTGTGAAAGCCTGGATTTTTAACAGTTACTTCAGAGTTGAATGGCTAAGGAAACATTAACCAGCTGAAAAAAGTCAGGGAAAGGCAACCAGCCTGCGTCTGGGTGCCAAAAACTATTGGGGGCACTGCCTGTCAGACGCGATGAGGAGGAGCAACCCATCTGTTCTGAACTGGTGCAGTGAGGTGCAGAAATCTAATTAACAGGTACATTTCTTATTGGAAGCTCTGAAAGCCACCTGTCTTCCTCCTGGTGTAGTCGTATGTTCAGTGTCCTGGAAAGAGTAATGACTGGGAAGAGGAACCTTTTTTCCTCTTCTCCGGTTTTGTTTCAGCGGTTGTTTTATGCTCTTGGGCAGGCAGAAACCCTGCGAGAGGTGGAACTTTGCTGGAAGGGTTTTCTGCTGACTTCTATTAATATTCTTGAGCTAGTGAAGCTTGTTACTACGAGCTTCAGTGGTATAATAAGCAGATCAAAGTAGTATTTTAACAGAATACAATGTCAAATAGTATTATTTGTATGCTGGTGGTTCCCCTGCTGAAACTGCTACAGCCCTAAATGTCTTTTGGCACTATCTCTGTCTTAATATTTCTGGTGTATTTCTCAGAGCAAAACATCACCATGAGCAGCTTGAAGGTGATAACTGATGATGTGATTATGAGCATCACAAAAGTCAGGAAGTTTCGGTATTAAATATGTTTAAATGTGTGAGTTTTGATCCTGGAGAAATTCCTGCTCTGCGAGGGAATTCATAAGAAATGTTTGCTTGCGTGTCCATCCCGAGTGCATGCGAGCTGGACAACTGCTACTGGAAGAAAAAGAATTCAGAAAGTGCTCTTTTCCCCTTCTGAAAATTAAATACACCCTAACAGTCTTTACCTTGATGATTTTTTTTTTTTTTGGTAGGCAAACGGCGAAAGTCTTCTCCTAAACCTCTTGTTCTGAGTGAAGCTAAAAAGCAGTTAATGATCTACAGACTACCTCAGGTCCTCCGGCTGCACCTTAAACGATTCAGGTGAGCGGGGCACACTCCGTGGTGCCAGGCAAGTGACTTGCCTCTGTCTTTTTGGAAAGAAGGGATTAGCCTGGGCTTGTAACTTCTCTCGCTTTCTAGTAAATGCATGTGTAATAAAGGTTTTACCCAAACCAGACGTGTGGTACCCTCTCAGAGTACTTACAATCAGAGGCCTGTTTGTAGCATGTTTTCTGCTATACACAGAAAGTAATGTTTCTTAAACATTAATACTAATTTCCTTGAATTGCACTCAACAGTATTTGTCTGAGTTTGCAAACAGCTTGAAGCAGTGGCTGTGCCATGGATGAACTGACCGGTTGAGTGAAAGATTTGTGGAAAGCCTGAGGTAGTTAAATGCCACTATTATGTATTTACCTGTTGAATAAAACATAGCAGACCGAGATGAAAAGTTTCAGAAATGGTTAGCACAGACAATCGAAGCGTCTGGCGTTTGTACAACTGAGTATTTTAAACGCCATTTGACTGTCACAGTAGGTGTTCAGCTGTTGCAAATCTCAACAATATCATAACAAATGGGCATCAGTGACAGGACCAGTTGTACGCAAAAGATGTTGGAGTGAAAACAGAAGGAAAAAATTATAGGATGCCAGCTTGACCCGAGCAAGGAAAGCTCTTCAGAGTTGTTTAGCAGCGGCTACTTTTGTGTGCATCTTCCCGCAGCCCTGTGCCACTGTCCAGACGCAGGATCCCGAGTCTTTGTTCGTGCCCTTGTGTTTGCAGGTGGTCTGAACGTAATCACCGTGAGAAGATTGGGGTCCATGTCCTCTTTGACCAGGTATTAAACATGGAACCTTACTGCTGCAGGGACTCTCTCTCCTCTCTTGACAAAGAGACCTTTGTCTATGACCTCTCCGCTGTGGTGATGCATCACGGGAAAGGGTTTGGCTCAGGACACTACACAGCATATTGCTACAACACAGAGGGAGGTGCGTGTGCCTTTTTATGGGGGAAACAAATTCAACAAACTCGTGTTTTATTCGAGACGTTGTAAAGCTTTATGATCAAAGTTGTTTGGAATCAAGTTTCCTGACAGTCGGTAGTTTGTTTCCCAGAATGTATTGCTAGTAGCATGTTTTCTTTTTTTTTTTTTTTTTTTTTTTTTTTTTTTTTATAAAGCCCCAGATTGCTGCTCTTTGCTTTGCCGCCCTTCGGGATGCCTTTTATTGCTTGCTGTTAACAGCATGAATGCTTCATTTTCTCATGCGATGTAACTCCGTGGAGCTACTCCAGCTGGGTGTCTTTTCTCAGTATCCTTGGGATGATGAGATAAACAGAAAGTGTTTTGAAACTGGACAGGGACTATTCATGAATAACATCCGCAGGGTTTTTGTGAATTTCCAGCAGTCTCTTTCTGCAGCTGAATTAGTATTGACTCTGCCTTCTGACTTGTGGAGAGAGAGGTACAAATTGGCTGTCTACAGGGAACTTTTATTTTCCTGATGGAGTATTTGGGCTATAATATGCAATCAGTTAAATTATGATTTGGTATTTCTAAACTCTTAACAGCACAGAAATGATCACAATGTTTTCCGGATTAGAAACTCCTTTCCAAAGCATCTGTAGGGGAAAAGATAGAGATGCCTTCCTGCCTTTTTCTCTGTGGATGTTTCCTATGAACAGTTCCAAAATGCATTCAGAAGGAATGATGCCTCCCTTACTAATGTCCTCTTTCTCGCTTTAATTCCTAGGTTTTTGGGTCCACTGCAATGACTCCAAATTGAATGTATGTAGCGTGGAGGAGGTGTGCAAAACCCAGGCTTACATTCTTTTTTACACTCAAAGAACAGTGCAGGACAAAGCAAGAATCTCAGAAAAACAACTCCAAGCTCAGGTGCCGTCCAAAAATAGTGATAAGGACAGAAGACTGACATTCCCGTGATGGGGAGCTCTGTAACTCAATCAACAGTCTCAGTTTTTTTTTTAAAAAAAAACAACATTGGCGTTCACATCTTTCCTCTTTGTAGGAAGAAAGGCTCGCTGCAGGAACGGGATCAGATGATGGTGTTTGCCACCCAGGGTCTGGAAAAGCGTGTCGAGATGTGCAATTCTGACACGTAAGATTGTAGTCAGAATCTTGTTTTCAAAACACCTTGTTGTTAAATGATGCTCACAAAATGAAATGAGAAAGTTTGATGCTGTATATCATTCATCTCATATCAAAAAGGAGTTGTGTAAGGCGTGTAACAAATGAGCACAACCAGGACATAGAAGCATTCAGCTGGCTTCAAAAACCATCAGTCCCTAGTAGTGCTGATAAAACTCCAGAAGGAACAGGTATAGTACCCTCCCCTTTAATTGCCATTCAGATTTCCAGGGTTTGAATCACACAGTCACCCAGGTATTTATTTGAACAGTTGTTGGATAGATGGAGTTGGCTGCCCTAAGAGCCATTCTTGCTGGAGAAATGTTTAATATTCTTCTACCAGAGGAAATAATCCTCCAGGCCTCAGCTATCTCAGTGATAGCAATTTCTTTCCCATCAGTTGAGGGCAAACCCATGGCTGGCAAGCTTTGTCAACAGCTCTTTGTCTCGGTGTTCCCAGGGTTATGTGCACACTCGATAGTTTATTCTCTGGGCTGAACTGAATTGGCAGCTAAATTCACCAGGAATGTGATTTTTAAAACAGTTCTGCTCTGGAGAAAGTGTGTTTAAAACCAAAACCCTGTAATAAAACAGGAATGTACCTGTGTGTCATATCTGTTTGCAGTGGCAGCAAAAACAAAGCCTGTACTACGGGCTTCTGCTGGCAGAACTCTGTTGACCAGGTTTCTAAAGCAGCCTGAGCCCTGGCTTGTGCAGCTGTGACAGCAGAAGCCTGGAGTGTGGAAGCATCTTACACTGGCAAACTAGCACTTTTTTACAAGTGTGGCTTGTTTTCCTCAGGGGAGCAGGGTGGTGGGAGACGGAGCTGTCTTCTGTTACTGCCTCTGTAATGGAAATATTCATTAATTGCAATGCCCAGGCTAACGAAGGGCACTGAGGTTGCACAGGTGCAGTGTGCAGAATTCAGCCTGCGGAGTTTTTGTTTCTGCTGGGACATAAAGGGAAGGAATGTAGTGAAATCTCAAATTCCATGTTGAGTTTGAAAGGCTACAAAAATGTCTGTATCTGTAATCAGCTTGATTTTAGAATTCTGTGAGAAACGTAAGGCCTTAGTTAACTCTTTGTAGTCATTTCTCAGCCGACAGTTGCACCTCAGGTGTTTTTATAATTTGGGGGTTGGCTGTTCACATTTCATGGTTTTTAATCAAATCTGAGCATGTAACTGCAAAGAGACATGACATCTTTCAATCTTGATGGTTTGTTATTTTTTGAAAGCGGTTAAAGGTGAAGTAATCTAAAATATGACATTCTTCAAAAAAAGTTGGTTCCATTTTTCAGGCAGAGAAGTTCTCAAAAGTGTGTTTCTCTTCCTCCCTCTTCTCCTTTTATTCTTGTCAGCGTTTGCCCATCAGACACACACTGACAACCCTACGTTGTTGTTGGAGGGGGTGAAGAGGTAAGTTTCCCAAATACCATTCCTCTCTTTCAGCTGCCACTACTGTGACTTTTAGTCTCCTGCCCTATGGGCAAACTGGTCTCTCTTTGGCTGCTGTTAGTCACTTCAGCCACGCAGAGATGAACACAGCAAACAAGAAACTTTTATTTTGTCAGAGCATGGTGTCGCACGAGGTCTCCTCTGTCCTTAAAGTTTCCCATTTCTTGTATGTCTAAGCAACGTGCTGCTTTTTGAGCCTACAAAAGCTGTCTTTTTGGCAATTAAGTATAATTTTGAGATTGTATGCTTTTTTTTTTTTTTGGAGACAAGGCAGTTTGAAACAGTCCTGTGGGAACTGATTACAAAGTTTGAGTTTTGGTTCTTTACATGTAGCAGAGTCTGGAAGGATTTGTTATGAATGTCTTTATTCCTTTGTATTTACTAGGTAGGGGAATTTTTGCACTACCAGTAAATAAAATTAATAAAAATGCAATAGGCCAAATTGAGATCAAATAAAAGTAAACGTGACTCTGCTGATTGCAGGGGAAGCAGAGTTGGGTTCAGCACAGGTAGAAGTTAACATTCCTGAAGGAATCCAAATCAAGTGCTTGTGATTACCAGATACATGATGGATTCTTTTCTGGAGCAAAACATATGCTCTGTGAAGACTGTGTGTCTCGAAAGGAAAATTAAAGGGAAAATAGTGCTTACCATTGCCTTTTTACTCTAAGGTGGAAGGGAAAACTGATGTTTTTCCCATGCATCTGTCCTTCCAGGCCTGTCCACCCTTGAAGAGGATTATATTCTTCGAAGCGACAGTCGTGGTTTACTCTGGTGTGTTCACTTTCTGAATCCCTTAGCCATGTGGCCCCGTTTTTATAAAAATTTGGTAGAAAGGCCAACCGAAATGCAGCCTGAGCTGTTTACTGCAGCGAGCCGAGAGGCTTCGCCATGAATGCTCATCTTTTGACTGAGTGTTTTGCATTAATGTTTGGATTCAGGTAGTCATACAGCTGTCACGGGAATGGCTGGGTTGCAGAGGGGAGCGGGGAGCACACCTGTAGCCCCAGCAGGTTTTGTAGCATCTGCTGGTGACGTCTTTTTGGCATCAAGGGCCTCTCCATGTGACGTTAGCCCAGTTGTGCTGAAATGTGGAGGTACTGCAGTCAGAAAAACGATTGCCCTGATAGGGAAGGAAGGAATTATACGTCAAAGTAAATAAACTTGCTTTTTCCAACACTGTGAGGTTTCTGTAATATTTAGCTTTTATTTGGAAGCGATAGCGTATAGCATTTTTTATGCTGTTTGGTTTATATTTGTTTACTGCAGGCTTCTTTATATAAGCGTAGCCCTGTGCTCCCTCCATGGTGGACACTGTTTTATAGTGTCCTGTTTGCCAGAAATTCGGATTGGAAGTTACCTCTCTACATCAGTACGATGAAAATACTACTTGCAATGACAGTGAAGCCCACTGAAGTGTATGCCTGACAAAGAGCAGCCTGTAGAGTAAACTGTGTCCCTCCTGGAACGGTACGGCTTCAAATCCTGCTAATACACTGGTGTGTATTTAGAATAATTCCAGGTTTAGGCTCCGCTTCTGCAAATATAGAGGCAGATGATGTGACTTAACTCATGCATGGAGTTCAGTAGCCACAGTTGTGAGTTGCAAGCTAAGTGCCTGCAACGTAAAAAACATTATTTTGGTGCAACTGGAAGTGGAATTGGTTTCTCTGTGTACTGGGATTCTTGCACTGGGGTTCCAGTGCTGTAGCAAGGAGTCAGTTGCCTCGAGAGATGCTCAGAGCAAGTGTGAGGTTCTTGGCACCTTGCAGGTTATTGTCTGAAGGCGTAGGAAGCACCCGTGTGCTGGCAGACTGTCAGGCTCAGAGCATGCAGCCTTTGGGACAGAATTGTTCCCAGCATAATCCTTATTCCATTCAACTCGTAAGTAAATTGGCATTCCTTAATTTTATGTTTTTAAGAATGAAGAATCTTAATGTGTTCATGGCCAGGTATGATACAGCATCTGCTGTGGTTGTTGGGAAACACTTTATTTTAGCTAATTTTATTCCACTAGCAAGTTAGTTGCATAAATTTATCTTTATGTTATCCCTTTACTGTCTGTATTCCCAGATTAAACTATGCATACCACAAAAACAGTTTCTCTGCAAAGCACTGAAAAAACAAATTTTTTTTCCCTCCATTAGTTCTGACCAGAACAATTCTCTGGTCTGGCTTTGAAGTTGTTAATGTGAGGCAGCAAACAGAATAATGCATATTAAATGCTTGACATCAGACTTCTCTGGGTGGCAATACCACCCCCACTTAGGGACTTCCAGATGGTTTTTTGAGTGTAGGAATAAAATTGAAAACAGTAAAAGCATTAAGTGTGTCCTATGGACTCAGGAGGTTTTTTTGCTTTCAGAAGGCAAGGCTTCTAGCGTAAATATTGTCTTGGGGGTGGTTTAGAAACTCTTTTATTGATTGTAACGTCCCCAGGCCTGAATATGCTTAATTGCATTCCAGTGAGAGAGACTAATGAAACCTGTGGCTGTTGCCAGATTACCCGGGACGAGCTCCAGTGCAAGTCGGTGGTGTTGCAGAATGAGAACTACAAAAGCAAGAGGCAAGACAGGGAGATTAGTTTTACCTGCCAGTACAGTTTTGTGAACTAATTTTGTATGATTCCTTCAATTCGGTGCCTTGTATCCAATAATATTTTACATGGGACAGAAATGTTTGGGAAATAAGTCATGAATTTCCCCGCTCCTGACTGAAGCAGCAGGCAGATCTGTGTGTTTTTACAAGTACTCAGTGTCACTGACATTTTTACATCTCGTGACGTTTACCAGCAAGCTCAGAGGCTGGTGTTTTAGTGTTACACGTTGGAAATCTCTGCGTTTGTAATAACTCAAGTAACAGCCCGTTCAAAGGCGGATTAGATTTGGCTGCTTGGATTTTCTCATGTCACCCAGGCCCCTCCGTCACGTCCGTAAGTTGACACCTGTCAGACCATGTAGCGTAGAGCAAGGCTTAAAAATTCCAGTGGGGTTTTTGGTAGAGGAGCTGTAGCTTTGGGAAGCACTTTCTGTTAGAAACCTAACAATAATTGCTGGTTTAGAAAAGAAAAAAAATACAGTTCCCATTGTCACGGTAGCGTTTGCACAGGTTTGCTCTCAGCAGCCTTTCCACACGTGAGCGAACGCACGCCGTAGTAACGCCGGCGTAAATTTGATGTGCAATAGGTAGAGTTGCACAAGGTGGCCAAGTGTCCCTGCTTCAAAGTAAACTGTAAAATCCAAGCACCAGCTCTGAACACTGCCTTTTGTGTGCATCTAACCCCTTGAGATCAGATAGGACGGATTTCGGGTGAGAATTTATCGCCTCTGGGAATATAAAA